TTCACCACGTCTCCAAAATAACGCATCACAGAGACCCACAGGGAGTGGATTGCTCACGGCCATGGGTGGTCTTAGTGCCAATCCCTACTTTCCAAGATCAAAGAAGGAGCCAGCTTCAGCAGTCGAGTCCCGTGAAGTGTATCCAGCGGGAGGAAGAAGAGCTCCAGACAGGTATGGCCACCCTGCCCAGAGCTGTAGGCACTCAGCCCTCCGAAGAGGACAGCGATGTCTCCACTCTTGGCGTGAGCAACGGGCCCGAGAAGTTGATGTACTCTCTCACGGTAGACCCAGCTTTCTCTTTCCAGTCTGCCGTGGTGCCTCAGAATCATCCCCTTGGGTCAGGGGACCAGCCGTGTCCGGTAGCAAGGGACTGTCCCAGGGAAGCTGTGAGCACTCCCCACAGGAGGTGGATAGCTGCCCTGTGGACTCAGCAGAGCCAAAACCCATCCAGTAGCTGTGCTGACATCCCGTATTTGGCTCTGGCCTGCTGGGTGCTGTTTGTCCGTGGAGGACCCTGGCTTGCTCCGTAGCCACCCCATGCTGGGTGCCTCTCCTTCTCGGCAGAGCACATCATGCCTCCTCCCGTCTTCCAGGACCAGCGGTTTACCGGTGAATCCACAATTCTTGTTTCTGCCCCAGGAGGGCCACACCACGTGTGTCCACAAGCAGACGTTGTGATTCACTGTCCAAATCCAACTGGGTTAATTGAGCTGGTCTCGGGGCTTATCTAGCCCCGTTGCATGTTGGGAAGCACGTGGCAGGCCCCGGGGCCGCCGGACACCCTGTGGGACCCTGTGCGTCCTCTGAGAGCCAAGGGTGGGTCTGGTGGGCTCACAGGGGAGGAAGAGCAGGGTCACAACCAAAGACTCTGCAGAAGGCGACTCAGCCCCAGCACTGTCTTCCTCGGACAGATCCCGGGACGTGCGCCTGCCTCATAAACAGATGTCACAGGGCACCTGGTGGCTCAGTCGGTTAAGTGTCCAGCTCTTAGTTTTGGCTCCGGTCGTGATATCAGGGTCGTGGGATCGAGACCCACATCAGGCTCCCTGCTCAGGACAGAGTGTTCTTGAGGCTCTCTCTCCCTCCCCCTCTGCCCCCTCTCCCCAGGCACGTGCTCTCATGCTCTCGCTCTCTCTCACTCTCTTGAATAAATAAATAAGCTTAAAAAATAAAAGAGGGAAATAAATAAATAAGCTTAAAAAAATAAAAGAGGGCCGCCTGGGTGGCTCAGCCAGTGAAGCATCTGCCTTCGGCTCAGATCATGATCCCAGGGTGCTGGGATCGAGCCCTGCATCGGGCTCCCTGCTCCGCGGGGGTCTGCCTCTCCCTCTACCCTTCACCCCTGCTCAAGATCTCTCTTTCTCTTACTCTCTCTGTCAAATAAATAAATTCTTGATAGATAGATTAAGATGATAGATGGTAGATAGATGATAGATAGAAAGCAGTCAAATGTCCCCTGACTTCCATGAATGTTGAATTTCTCCTTGAAGTTAGTCTCCCTGGGGGTCTTCTGGCCCATCTGTCCCTCCCCCACCCAAGGTCGTTTCTCTTATCTCTTCCGCCCCTTCATTCAGCGGGTTTTACCTCATTCCGAGCAGTCCAAGACGGTGGACTTCCTCTTGAGGAAGGGCAGTGCAGAGTCTGCTGTGAATGAGACACGAGCCATGGCAGAGTGTGGCGCCCACTCGCAGAGATGCAGAGAAAGCAGCCTGTGACAGTGTTCCTCAGCGCACTTACTCAGCACCTCTGGGCCTCATCTAAGCCCCAGGGGACAATGTGGAGGCCACGACCCGAATGTGCTTGTGAGGATGGACTGTGGGGAGACACTGTGCTCGGGTTCCCTTCCCGAGCAGTGAGTGTCTTACAGAGCTGAGACACCCCTCCCGTGTTGGGGGACGTAGGTGTCCTACTGAGAGCCACTGTGGATTATCTCAGACCCCTTCCTAGACGCCAGGGGTGCAGGCAGGAGTCTGCCGGCGATCACAGGGGTGCTGGAGAATGTGCCTGTGTCCCGCCGTTTGCGTGGCCGATCAGGGCTCTTTGGGCTGCACCCACGTGCGTCTGATGCTCAGCTCAGACACGCCTCACACACGTGCAGTCAGGCGCAGGTTCTGAAGAAGCACGATGACACAGAGCCACAAAAACGCCCTGAGGTCCCAACAGCCACACTGGGTCACATGTCAGAGGGCGCTGATGTCATCAGGCTTCGGTATAGAAGACAAACAGCTCATAAGGTGGGTTCAGTCGGAGGGGTCGTGGGTGCCCAGCCCAAAGCAGGGGGTCCCTTCAGGTGTCATGACAGTGAAGACCGGACTCATTAGATGCATCTCAGTGCATTGTGGAGGGTTTCCAAGATGTTCACGTCTGTGGCACATTTCTGTTTTTGCTCTGAAATGTGATGGAAGTTTGAACATGAGATCTGACCAGGGCGCCTCGTTTCCCAGCAGGGACTCGTGGGGCACCTCACGTCTGCACTGGCTGTGGTGCGGTTGGTGTGGATGGTGAGAAATCAAGACGCTGGGTCAAGGCGGCTCACCGCCCAGCAGTTCAGAAAGTCCGGGTGCAGATCTCACAGAGCTGCCCGCCCCCATGCCCGCACACGCCCGCTGCAACCGTGACACTTGTCTGCATGATGTTGGTGGGCAGAGTTCGGTTCCTCAGCACGGACGGGGCAGAAGAGAGACGCCCGAGGGCATGAGCATGCATTCGTGGGGCTGTCAGGGGGGGCGGTGGGCCCACACCCCTGCTGCTTCATGAACTCCGCTCGGGCCCCCTCGCACGTCCGATGGCACCCGGGGTGGACTCTGGGAAGGGCGGGGCGGTCTGGGTGAAGGGTACACGCAGCCCCACCAAGTGATGCTGAGAGGCAGGGCCTGGCGGGCCGAGGCAGGACTGACGCTAAGTACACCAGCAGGCTCTTCGAACATGCAGCTGCATCTGCTCGAGGCAAAACCCAAGGTTGGCAGGTGGCCTTTGTCCTCAGCCCATATCCTATTTTGTTTTTTTTTTTTTTTTGGTGTGAAGGTTTTGCTTAGTTGAGTTGCTTCTAGGCCTCATTTTATCCCAGTCTGTCTGATAAACAACAGGAGCAGAGGCGAAACATGCCGTGAATCATTCCTACCCTTAAAACTCAGGGCTGACCTTCACCCGACTCACCGTCATCAGGGGAGGATGCTTCTTGAGAGTGAGCTGGGTCCCCGCGTCCAGCTGCGGGGGATTACACCACGGAGCTCACGCTCTCTGTGAATGCTCAGCTGTGTGGGCTCGTGTGAGCGTTCTGTCCGTGGCCTGCGTGTGCCCGGTGTGTGTGTGCTAGCTGACCTCACGAACTTGTGATTTCAACAACCAGCGCAACGTGGACGCGTCCGTTGAAGTCGTTGTGTTGACGCTTGCCCTGTCTTTGCTGTGTATGTGTGTGTTTAAGGAGAATATGATCTGAGATGGAAGGTGGGTTGTTTGGGCTTATTCTGCTAATTCCATGCTTCTCTGACTAACGCAGGCTGCTTTCAAGCAGGCCACACGGACCACGTGACCACGGTCCCCATGGCAACTGTATTTAATTAGAACTGTGTGTTATATTGCATTATATTTCTAAAGAAATGAAAACATTGCCATCTCTGTTCTCACACTCTACCTAATGTGGTCATCTGGCTGGACGGCGCTGGACTAGACCACTCATTAGCAGGAAACACGGCCCCAAAGTGCAATGCTGCCATTAGCCGTGCGGAGACGGGGCATGGTCAGATCACACTAAATAATTTTAATAGGCTGTCTTGTAAAATACTTAACCCAGTTCAGACCTTTATTATTCATATATAAAAGTTTAATATATATAACTTTTAAGAGCAGTGTCTGGAGGTCCCCTGAAATGAAATTCTACTGCAGATTTGTGTGAGAGATTGGTAAGCATCTCCCACTGCCGACCTTCCTTAATGTCCTGTAGTTACAGAAAATGCCAATTTGCTGGATGAAGATGGTGATAGCCTACGTGGGCTCGATCACGGTGCCCTAGAATGACTCCTTTTGCAGACTATAGCATGGCTAACCATATTTACTATTACTAACAGGATGTCAATGTGGAATTTTTGCCTCGAAACTCATTCAAGAATATTGAAAGCCTGCATAAATGCACATGGAAAAATTACACTTATGGAATATGTGCCAAAATGATGACATATGTATTATATACACGGTGTATTTGCAAAAGGGTCCTTACCTGAAGCTGCCTGTCTCCCTGGGGACACCAGCTGTCTACACCTCTCACTCCTGATTTGGTGTGGGGTCGAGGACCCTGGGGCCACACAGATGGAATCCAGGGCAGGAGCCACCAGGCTCCTCTGACCCAGCTCTGTGGGGGGCAGCTGGGTAAAGAGGCAGCTCTCTGGCCTCCGCCACCCCATCCGGGAAGGGCAGGGCCATGCTGGCTGACCCCCAAGACCATTCTTCCTCATGCAGTGACGTCCCTGTAAGAACATCGTGTCTGCGTTATATGCAAGTGAGCGACTGAAAATCACTGCTAGCAATGTGAACCCAAAATGTTCTCCCAACGGAAAGAAATAAAATTCATGTTTGGGAAGAACCTGACCTAAGATTAACTAATATTAAGCAATAATGCGGCAACTGCAGGCTTTGAATATTGGTGAAGGAGGCTTCAGTCTAGAACTTTCTGGATAAGGGAGAAAGTGCCATCCTGGGTAGCACAGCTCTCATGGGGGCTTCCAAAGCGGGACGTGGCTATGGAATGCAGAGCGTGGCCGACTCATAAATCTGCGTAGATCTCAGATTTATTATTGATTATTGATTAAACCCGAGGTAGAGCTGAGAATCACGGACGCTCTGCCTGAGTTGGCACCTGCACATAGCTCTGAGCCGTGGCCTTTGAGCAACCAGGAAGAGTCTCTGATGTTTGGGCATCTGGGTGAAGAGTGTTAGAAATGCACTGAGCTGACGGCCATGTACCCCTGAACATACTAAAGAATGACTCTGTTTCTCTCTTGCAGAGGAAGAGGGCGGGGACCTGGTCCAGCCCAGCATCAGCTTTCCGGGGCCAGCAGAGGAGGATCTAGGTAGAGTACACATCACCTCAGCCCTGGTGACGCAGAGATTAGGCACAGTGGGGCACACCCCGGGCCGGATGACTCTCTGCACCTCAGAGACGGGATCCCTCCCCCCAAAAATGGTTGAAGCATGTGTGTGACTTCGGCATGCCCTAATTTAAAGACCTGAATGAGATGTGGTGAACGTTTTAAATAATTTGTAAAGAGTACAGAAGCTATGGGTGAGAACACATTTGCTCCAGATCATTGCAGACTAATTACTAAGACAGCTAATCATTATGAATAATGGTTAAAGCAGTTAGTAGCATAACTGATACACGTGTAAAATGGCACCTCTCTCCCTTGCTCCTTCATGAGTAAACCTTACTCTGAGTATATCCAAGGAAGAGAAGAAGTCCTTATCCATAGCTTTTTACGTGGCTCTTTACCTGAATAGATAGCTGATTGCTGTGGGCAAGCCCAGCGTACACTGGGGTGTGGGTGCCGAATGCAATCATGTGCTTTCTTGCAGGGAGCTCTGAATTATGATATGATATAATATGATAGCGTATTTTCCCCGGTGCTAGTTAGAGTCCTATGGAAATTTTACTTCTATGCCGTCACAGACACAATAAAGCCAGTGCCACCTTTGGCCGTGATCACTTGACGTGGATCCCACGTACGTGAAAATGCGCCAGGGTTTCTGTAAGACATGTGAGCTGTTGAATAAATTCAATGTCCAACAGTCAGTGAGGACCCTCCCCCCCCACCTCTGTGGCTCAGGCTCTTGATGTCACAGCACTCGGGGCTGAATATGGATCAAAAAGATAATTCCTACTTGAATTTGAATTTTTCTTAACTGATTTCAGACCTTTAGCCAATGAATCTCTTGCCCATTTGATTGGCTTAAAGAATAATACTGTAAATGGAGGGAGTCCATTTGTGTAAGTCTGTGATTTCTTTTAAAGAAAAGTAGAGGCAAAAAATTTTCTTTTCAATTAAGTTATTATATATAGGTGTAGTTCCAAAAGAGTGACGGTACATTTTGCACTGCGGTGGAGCTCAAAATGTATTTCTGTCTTGCTCCCCTAAACAAGCCTTTCTTTGCTCAGAAATATGCAAGCAAAATCATCTTCCCTTCCTGCTAAAAAGGCGTCCCAGCTTTCTTATTTGAATTCTGTTCCACTCTGGGGACAGTCCCTCGCAAGCAGGTCTCGGGAGGCGTCCAGTGAGTGCATGACTCATTTGACTTTTGTTTCCCTGGGGCTTTGGGAGTAATCCACCTGCATCTTGCACTGTGCACGGTTTTGACGTCATGATTGTGTCTGTGGTGCCCGTTCTTTCCCGAGACAGTCTCTTGGAATGGGGGAGACGCGCCAAAACGGAGGAAGAGTGTGCACCTGCAAGCCCTGTTTTTGTGGCTGGTGGGGATTCGAGGCTGACACGTCCACTGTGCGGGGGGATCCCAGGGGAGCTCGTCCACCTCGGGGGAGACAGGTGCCCCTTTCTCGGCTGGCTCCCGGCAGCTGGGTGTTGTTTCACCGGGGTCGGCACCGCGGGAAGGGCCCGGATGACCAAGCAGCGGCACGAAACTAAACACCAGGTCGTGGGAATCACACCGGAAACACAGGTGCCCCCCGTGCCCTTGCTGCCGAGTCCCGGACTCGAGTTTAAATGTGTGCCATAGTCACGTGAGCTGAGTGCGGACGGGCAGGTACAGGGGCGGAAGGGGTCTGTGCATCTCCCCGGCGGCACGCGGACCTACAGCCTGAGTTGGCACCTGGGCGGGGCCGCTTCCCGGGGCCGTGTTCACAGAGAGGGTGCCCGTGCGGGCGGACAGGCTGCAGGGCTCAGAGAGAAAGTATTCTTTGCATTTGGTAAAATAGGTACAACATAAAATTGACCATTTTGACCATTTTTAAGTGTATAATCAGGGGCATGGAGTACATTCACGTGGTCAGGTAACTGTCTCCACCCCCGCCCCCAGGACTCTCCATGTTCCCCATCGGTCCCTCTGCACCCATGAACCAGCACCCCCATCCCCCCCCCACAGTGACTGGCATCCTGCTCTGCTTCTCTGAGTCTGACCACCTTGGCCCCTGGGCTGAGGGGCTCCTGCAGAACGGGTTCTGCTGCGACGGGCTTCTCTCACTCAGGGTCATGTCCCCGGGACTCCCCCACGTCGGAGCAGATGACACAGTCTCCCTCCTTCTCGAGGCTGCGTGACATTGCCCCATGTGGACACATCACATCCAGTTTGTCCGTTCACCCGTAATGGACACCGAGCTTGCCTCCCCCTCCAGACTCTGGTGAATAATGCTGCTGGGTGTACAAGACCTCTTTGGGACCTTGCTCTTAACTTTGGGGGATGCACCCAGGAGTAGAATTGCTGAATTATGGTAACTCCACTTCCAATTTTGTTTTGAGGAACCTCGTACTGTTTAGGGACAGAAAGTGTTTGGTGAGCTGTTTCTACAGTCTAGCCATGAGGGGACGGTGATCCCAAGAATGTCAAGAGACAGTCAGATTTGGGAGGTTTTGGTCAGAAGGAAAGGTGAGGATTGGGGACTGTTGGCCCTAAGGAGCTCTTAGACACACGTCCGGTTTCCCCGCGTGAGGACGGGAATGGGCAGGTGTACTGTGGACGGTGGTGGGAAGGTGTGTTAAGACCCCAGGCAGAGGTTGCCCGGCTCAGGGATATGCACATGGCTCTAGCGATCATTTTCAGCACATTGACTGGGACAGTGGGTCTCAGCCGTGGTTGTCCCCAGCCAGCACCACCACTCAGTATCAGAAACATTGCGGCCTGCATGTTCTGATGCGAGGCTGCCTCTAGGGGGCCCTGCGCGTGTGCCCGCGTGCACCCCCAGGGTGGAGAATGCTGGCGTGAAGGGCACGCGCTGATGGTGACAGGAGGGTGAGGGGGGCAGGACTGGGAGGGGGGTGGGAGCGCGGACGGGAGGGGACAAGGTCTGCGTGACCCTCCCAGGGCTGCAGTACTAACTAGTCAGGAGCAAACACCACACTGTGGACTCGGCTTGTTTTGTGAACGGAATCTGCCCGTGTCCTCCTCTGTAAATTGAGGGGCTGCGCTGGGTGGGGTTTGTGGCCCTTCTGTCTTGAATGTGCGGCTCTCTGCTTCTCCTGCACCAAATCCAGGTGCAGAGCACTTTGCAGGGCCCTCGGTGCTGTGGTTGTGGAAGGCATGTCCTTTCTGTGCATGGTGGTGCGTTTTGAGGCCAGCACAGGCTGCGTCCATCCGCACAGAAGCCAGGCGAGCTTTCCTCTGCTCCCTTCAAAGCTCCTGTCTTTTTCTCCCCCAACTGGCCTCAGTCTCAAAGCTCTGAGGAAAGGCGAGCAACACTGGCTAAAAGACTAGAAACTGTCTTTAGTGATAGAGAATTTAGGAATAAATTCCGTGCTCAGGCTGTGACCCATTACGGGCGTAGTTAAGGGTGCGTTCTCTGAAGCTCACATATTATCAGGGGTGGAAATAATTGTATGAGGAGGAAAGTGCCATGGAAAATAGGAAGATAAAGAAGGCTTCTTTGCAATTCATCTAAAGTCAGTGATGAAAATGAATTAATTTAGCACATTCACAATGGCTACAATAGAAGAGAAAAACCCACTTTTTCCAGGGGAAACGTCTGAGGGAGGACCTTCAGACACACTACATTAAATTGTTCTGCCAGTCATTTTGTGACCCTGGCTCATGATAGGAGCCATTGGTCTACAGATGCCTTTTCTTCATTCTCTCGAGCGTGATATTTAAATCAGTTGCAAAGAGCTGTCAGTTTATAAGCACTTATGAGCTCTGTGATGTGGACCCAAATTTTGCACCAGTAAGTCAACTGCAAAGGGGAACTTTTTCAAAAGGCAGATTAAATATCAAAGAATAGTAGATACATATTGTATGAGACGCAGCGCAGAGAAAATGGGTGAACTATGCATATTGTAAAAGGCACTTGCACACTAGAGTAATGATGCCCAACACATAGAGGCTTCCATGGGCCAGGCATGTGTGCTGAGGATGTGTTCTCCTTCAGTGGACACCCCCGGGCCCTGGTCATGTCTACACAGCATAGGACCTAACGTACAAAACTTATTTTAAAAGAGCTCTCTCTTCAGAGGTTGATATTTTACATCCTTTTATCAGCACCCTGGCCATCTTGTAGACATAGTTTTGTAACTCGATGGGCATCCACACTTATTTCCTTAAAGTAAATTCCTAGAAGTTTCCAGAAACCATGAAATGGTGCCATGTTTCTGTCTAGACAACAACAGTGTGTGCGTTGCTGCACCCTGAGCATCCGGAGCCCTCTCTCCCTTCTTCTCCACCCTCCCCGTGTCCTCCCCACGCTCCTGGGATATTCAGGATTTCTCCCAGCTGCCTGTGGGAACCCAGAGGCCCCAGGGGGCCACAACTGCTCTCCAGTGTGTGACATCAGCAGTTACTGTCACACGTGCAGAAGAGGTGGGAAAGGTTACATGTCAGTGAAGGGAGTATCCAAAAAGAGGAATTTTATGTGAACATTTCATGTTAAAACAACCTGAATAGGCCAATAACCAGTAACAAGATTGAAGCAGTGATCAAAAGCCTTCCAAAAAACGAGTCCAGGGCCTGATGGATTCCCTGGGGAATTCTACCAAACATTCAAAGAGAAAATGATACCTATTCTACTGAAGCTGTTTCAAAAAATAGAAACAGAAGGAAAGCTTCCAGACTCATTCTATGAGGCCAGCATTACCTTAATCCCCAAACCAGGTAAAGACCCCATTGAAAAGAAGAATTTCAGACCGATATCCCTGATGAATATGGATTCCAAAATTCTCAGCAAAATCCTAGGTAATAGGATCCAACAATACATTGAAAAGATCATCCACCACAACCAAGTGGGATTTAACCCCGGGATACAAGCGTGGTTCAACATTTGCAAATCAATCAATGTGATAGAACACATTAATAAGAGGAGAGAGAAGAACCATATGGTCCTCTCGATTGATGCAGAACAAGCATTTGACAAAATACA